TTGCTGCTGCTGCTGCTGTTGCTGCGCTGCACATGGGTCTTTGGGGGCCTCCTCTGCTGCTCTCCTTCCTCTCGTTTTTCCTGCTGCCCCCAGCAGCAGCAAAACGAATACCAATCACCACCAGGCCGCTGCAGCAGCAGCAGCAGCAGCAACAGCAGCAGCTGCTGCTGCGGCAACAGCAGCATCTACAGCAGCAACAGCATCAGCTGCAGCAGCAGAAGCTCCTGCTGCAGCAGCAGCAGCAGAGGTTAAGTGCTGCCACTGTCTTCTCTCTAAGGCTGCGGGGGCCCCCAAAACCAAACCTGAAAGGGGTACTAAAGGGGGGCCCCCCAGGGGCCCCATGGGCGCAGAGGGGCCCCCCTCTTCTCTCTGTTGTTGTTTCATTTCTTCTTTTGCTGCTGGCAGCAGCTATCTTTAAGAAGCATTCACCGCACTGCAGCAGCAGCAGCAGCAGCAGCAGCAGCAACAGCAGCAACAGCAGCAGCAGCAGCAGCAGCAGCGGGGGATCAGGTATGGAGCAGGCATCTGCTTCTGCTGCTGCTGAAGCCTTTGTGCTGCAGCATTTGCTGCAGCGAATTGAGGGGGGGGCCCCCGGGGGCCCCCTACCTGATGGGGCCCCCATTAGGTTCTATTGGGGGCCCTTTCCTTTCTTTCTTAGGGCCCGGCAGGTAATTATATATAAATAAAATAAATAAATATAAATAAAATAAATAAATATAAATAAATAAATAAATATAAATAAAATAAATAAATATAAATAAATAAACAAATATTTATTTTATATAAATTAAAAAATAAATATTATAAATAAATTAAATTAAATATAAATATATATAAACTAAGAAAATAAATATAGATATTGCTGCAGCAGCATCAGCAGCAACAGCAGCAGCTGCAGCACCCGCAGCAGCAGCCGCAGCAGCAGCAGCAGCAGCAGCAGCAGCAGCAGCAGCACCCGCAGCAGCAGCCACAGCCGCAGCAGCAGCAGCAGCAGCAGCAGCAGGATATATTTATGTGTGTTTAATATTTCAGGCGCCTGGTGCTGGTGATTGTTTGTTTCTGTCTTTGTCTGCTTCTCTTTGGTTTGTTTTGTGGGGCCTCCATCCTTCCTTTAGCAGCAAAGAGCTGCAGGATGCTGCATATAACCTCAGACAGGTTTGCTGCTGCTGCTGCTGCTGCTGCTGCTGCTGCTGTTGCTGTTGCTGTTGCTGCTGCTGTTGCTGGTGTTGGTGTTGCTGCTGGTGTTGCTGCTGGTGTTGCTGCTGCTGCTCGTGCTGCTGTTGGTGTTGCTTTTGGTGTTGTTGTTTCTGCTGTTGCTGCTGTTGCTGCTGCTGTTGCTGCTGTTGCTGCTGCGTCTGGTGTTGTTGTTGCTGCTGTTGCGTTTGCTTCTGGTGTTGCTGTTGCTGCTGCTGGTGTGGTTGCTGCAGCTGCAGTTGATGTTGCAGTTGTTGTTGCTGCTGTTGGTGTTGCTGTTGCTGCTGCCTGTGCTGCCGCTGCTGCTGACTGCTGTTGCTGCTGCTGCTGCTGCTGCTGCTGCTGTTGCTGCTGCAGCTTGCAGTGGATACCCTCGAGGATGCATCAGTGTCTGCGTTTGTTGCTGAGGGAGAAGAAAATATAAACCGAGAAGAGCTGCTGCTGCTGGTGGCGCAGCAGTACAGCTGCCAGCCCCAAAACTACTGCAGCCGCATGCGCATGCAGACGGCCTGGGGGGGGGGCCCCGAGATCCTCTCTCTAGCGCATGCACTGCGGCGCCCCATAGCTGTATTCACACTGCAGCAGCAGCAGCAGCAGCAGCAGCAGCAAGGTGCTGCTGCTGCTGCTGCTGCTGTTGGTTCTGGTATACCTCGAGTGCAGCAGCAAACGCTGCTGCAGCAAAGAATATTACGTCTCCTGCAGCCGGACGAAGACCAGCAGCAGCAGCAGCAGCAGCAGCAGCAGCAGCAGCAGCAGCAGCAGCAGCAGCAGGAGGCTGAGCTGCGTTTATGTAAAGTGTTTGGATGGAAAGAAGGATGCACTGCTGAACCTCTTTATTTATTATTTATAAATGCGGGGGCCCTCGCGGGGGGCCCCCCGGGTGGAGCTGAAAATCATTTCGTGCCGCTGTACCCTTCAACAGACTATTAAGTTTTTTTTTTTTTTTTTGCTGCTGCTGCTGCTG